ATATATATATATATATATATATATATATATATATATATATATAATATCTTTTTATATGTAATCGAAGTTTTTTTATATTGCTACCACTGAAGAGAATCTACTGAAGGACCGAAACGCGTTTGGTTATTTGAATAAATATTTCTTTTAATTTCTACATATGTGAAAATAGATACTAGCTGTTTTATAGCTAGTTTTAGAACACTACGTCATCTGTGTTAGTGGTTCTATATGCCCTTATTCCCCTAAGTTTTTGATTTATTAAGGTTTGTTAAATTTTATAGATACTTCTAATCTAGTCTTCCAGCGTAAATATATGCAAGATTTGTCAAAAAGTTCCACACGATCGAACGGACCGTAATGAAAAATCAAGTTTTGCAAAAATCTTTATGCGTTCAAGTAGCGGAAAGAGAGAGCCAACGTTTTGTAAATATAGTATATAATCTTATCGCGCTATTACGATACGTGTAATTCGTACTTTGATACTATGCCATACAAATGCCAAGGATTAAATGAATTGTAAGACTTTTTAGAATTTTATAAAGTTCACGTGTATTCCCCCGAAGAGAGCGCTGAAACTTACATTATGTAGTAAATATTAAAAAGACCGAGATGTGTCCTCTTGTACTGTCTCGATAAAATATATTTAAATAAACATGTGCGCCTCGTTTTGCATGGATTGAACAAAATCTCACGTTGCCAGTATACTACTTTGCGTTTACGATATTTATCATGCGCGTTCGCGTGTTTGAAGGACCTTCCGATCAAATGTATGTGCAACATAAGATTGCCATTAACAATATTATAACTCGAAAATCTTAACAAAATCTGGAATATATACATAAGCATAAAAGGTAATATAAAATATAGATTTAAATCAATGTGGGAACGTATCGATTTTCTTCTTGCATCCTGTTTGTTTGCACCCAAATAGATGTGTACCGATGCATATCATAAATCTTGAATTTTTTCTATTTTGAACTCTGTTCGATAAAAAAAAAACGTGACATATAACGTGGGGCTTACGAATCGTTAAGTACGCCACTGGAGGTAAACAAGTATCACGATCATCGTATATCCTATCGCGATATGCTTCTACAAAAAATCGTTCAATGAGTGTTAGACACGCAAGAATGCTTCATCAAAAGTGTACGCAGGGTCTATACCCGTCCAGCAGCGTGAGAAGATTCGAAGTAACAAAGGAAAAAGTTCCATGGACAGTTGAGTATCCCGAATACAAGCCGGTTGCGTACACCGCCAGCATTCTTCGCGGTAAACCTTGGGCCGATCCAGAAATCAAGGAGCCCGCATTTAAACCGAAGTGGAACACGGTAGACGGTAACTATCTCTTCTTTTGTCTCGTCCAATCGTTAAATTTATTACGAACCGCGAGTCAAAAGTTAGCGTGAAAGCAAGAGAAGTCCGAGAGGATGCAGACACACATCGAGGTTAAGGAATTGATCGCAGCATAGAAGATGAGTTCCACTTGATAATCGCCGTGAGCATCATTCTGTCCTTGTTTCTTAATGATGTATGAATTGATGTTAAACAAGGATAGAATGGCACTCGTGGCGATCACCAAGTGGAACGCATCCAGAATGGAACATTTGACGCGCATGCGAAGTATTACCGCGCCACGTTTGAGACACGTTTGTCGACAGGTAAGGTGAATAGAAGGAGTTTCACGGGTAACTACGTTATCAACGCGAACGGCTATCCACTGAATCCCGTAGGAAGAACTGGTATTGTCGGACGCGGGCTTCTAGGTCGTTGGGGACCGAATCACGCCGCTGACCCAATTGTCACACGATGGAAACGTGATAATACGGGAGCCGTAGAGATAGACGGGTACACAAAGAAACCGGTATTGCAGTTCGTCGCGATACAAAGACGGGATTCCGGCGAATGGGCCATTCCGGGAGGTATGGTCGATCCAGGTGAAGCAGTTTCTGCCACACTGATGAGGGAATTCATGGAGGAAGCGCTGAGCCTCCTGGAGAAGGACAACGCTGAGAGGAAAACTCTGCGCGATTCTATAGCGGACTTTTTCGCGAAAGGCGACGAGATTTACAAAGGATACGTGGACGATCCGCGAAACACAGATAACGCCTGGATGGAGACGGTGGCTATCAATTTCCACGATGAGGACAATAGTGTTGTTGGGAAACTCGCGTTGAAGGCCGGGGACGACGCGCGTAATGTCAGATGGATGGATGTAAACCGTCAAATTAATTTGTACGCGAATCACAGCGAATTCATTAGAAAGACCGTGTCGCGACGTGACGCACATTGGTGAAGTTTGGTCGCAATTCCCTTCTCTTTCGAACATTCTCCAGAATAATGAAGGAAAAGTAAATGGCAAATAGGAGTAGGAATGCTGTATATTACGTGTCGCAACACTATTTCTGTTCTTACTCGCCATTTATTTTTTCTTTATCCTTGATTGTACGTTATAAAAACTATATTTCTTTTTAATTCTCGGGTGTTTTCCTTGATCTTTCAAAACCACACACTTTATATCGATTTATAGAATCTGAGCAATTTTTTTTTCGATTATATAAAATTGCAGAACGCGATATAAAATAAAATTCTTAAAAAAATGCTATTTGTAAACTACCCAAGTATTATGATAATGTAAATTATTTTCAATAAAGGATATGGTTGTTAAAAAACCGTGAGATTATAAAAATTTTATATTTTTTGTACCATGTATCATATAACCTAAAGTATACATACCAAGTTGATATGCACGTACTGACAAAATCTTTATTTCATAAAATGAATTTTCGATGTAAGAGAACCGATTATGTACGTATATAAAATAAAAATTTTTAATTATACAATATAAGAGACACTTTCAAGTTTACTAGAACATTCAATGTTCGTATTTCTCAATTAAAATAACGTAATCGCGCATTTCCTCAGATATAATACGTTCAAATGTGCATCACAGTCAAAGTTTCGACTCAACTCCTAGTCGAGTGGCATTACATACAAGAGGATTGCTTCCCTTGTATAAAAATTAGATATTTGTTATACCTTCTTACAATAATGTACAATATAATAATAAAAATTAAATATGCATTTATAACGCGCACATACATACACACACACACACACACACACACACACACACACATATATATATATATATATATATATATATATATATATATATATAGATATATATTGATATATTGAATACTAATAAGTATACTCGTTCTTAAACGTAGTGAAAATAGTGTTATAGAAACGAGTGCATGATTTAGAGCAGAATTTCAACTTATAACACGTACGTTATAAATTGAGCAATATATATTGCCATTTGCGTCGATATCGCTACTAGACGTATCGCGTAAATTCTTGTAAAAATACTATGCACACGTAACGCGATACGTTTTGAGGTAATAACTGCACAGAATAATATTACGTAGAAATTAGATACTCGATTGCCTGCATCTACATAGTACGATTTTGTACTGCGGTATTATATGTATATAACTACATAAAAGTATTTTAATTCAATAAACGAGATCCAATGTTTAACATGGCAATTAATATGTCACAATAGCTGGCTGAGGTTCCTTTAAACCAAGGATATCCATAAGTACGCGAGCGGAGTCTCGAGCTATCTCTTCGTTATATTCCGGTGCATCGGACTTCGCAATGAAGTTCGTCATCTTATCGATTAATTTTTCGTGCATGTCGCTCATCTCATTTATTTCTACATTTCTCAAGGAAATTATTGACTTAGTGGAGATGCTTTTAGTATCCTTCGATTTAATATTAGCTTTTTCTAGATCGAGCGCGCGTTGCGCTTGCACCTGACCCAACTTTGCCGCCCTGGTGAAACAGGTGCGCGCGGTATCAATATCGACCGGTAAGCCGCCCTTTCCTTGAGCGTGGTAAACTCCCAAATTATACAATGCCTCTGCATGATCGTAATCCGCGGCATCATTGTAATATTTTGCGGCCTGGAGAAAAATCACATTTTTATACATGTCTCAGGAGCATATCCCGCATTTCTTTCAAATGTGTGTCTTTCGTAAATCAATACAGGTGTGATAACTTATAATCTTTCCCATTTCTTGTCATTTTCAATTCATGCATGTATATTTTTTTTTTTGTTTAAATCAGATAATTTAGAGGCAATGTTTAGGACTCCAAGTGCAAAGTATAGAGCGTACCTTCTCTAGATCTGCTAATGTTCCAATACCTAATTCATAACACAGAGCTAAATTGAACATACTGCCAGGAGATGATAATTTGGCGCCTCGTGAAAAATGCGTCCAAGCATCTTTATAACGTTTCTCTTCCAAAGCTTTTATACCGTAACGAAATTCATATTCTCCTAAGACTATTTTATGGATGTTTTTAAATTCATCGGTTGCTTCTTTGAGTGCCTGAGGATATAGAAAATCTATAGGGATATGGGATTTTGTAATTGTCTTGATGTATACAGAGGAAGAATAAAAGAGTTTATTTGAAAAAAACAATTGCAGAGAGGATTAATATATTAGTTATCCTTTAATCTAGAATATTTTTATGAATGCTTTTACAGTGAATTTGACCGAGTACATTATAAATTTTAATTCCCTGGTAAAATACATATATTTACGCGTGAAAGTTATTAAATATATATTTAATTCTATATATAACTCAAGTTTTATATGTGATTTATTTCATTGAAGATGTAATCAAATTTATTTCTACTACAAATGGAAAGCATTTTCAACAAAGCAACTATTATTATTTGTTAATAAATTACTGCATAGGAAATAAAGTAATACCTAATATTTGAATTTTTTGTCTCTAGGTACAGGAAAAAAATAATAATTTATTATGAAATAAATATGTCATCAATTTTTACCCTAATTTAAATTTGATCTATTTACTTCCAACCTATTGTTATATAGTATAACCTCTGCAAAATAACATTCTCACCTCTTCCATAGTAAGAGGACCAAATGGCCTCTCTGTATGCCATTGCGAGTGTGAATTTTGTAAGTTGCTATTGTTGCTATTATTCACACATTTGGTAACTGGTAAGATATTTGCAACACTTGACTTGAATTGCAAAGTTTTTATCTGAGTGAGCAAGTTGTTCACTCCAGTATAATATAATTTCCTCTTTCTGTCATTCTTATCTGAATCAAAGACTCTTTTCTGAAGACAAAGCGACTGGCACACAACCCATCCAACAGCCAATATACTGGACTAATGGAAAATATATTCTGTTAGCTATTTAGTAAGGAGTTTGCTAAGATGTATGATATTATAGCACTTCAAGTCATAAATGTCATAATTAAAATTATAGCATTTATGCATTGAAGAGATATTTACCCAGCCGATGGCTTCTGGCCAACTGTGTCTGGTATCCCATTTATAATCGCGCTCTTTGTCTTTAGCATCGGCACTCTTTGCGGATCCACAAAAACCTTTGTTCCAACCAAGGTAAATCGGAGCAAGACAGCTTTGTTGGCATGTTACATTTGTTTTGACTTCGTTCTTTGCGTTGTCTTGCGATGGTTGTGAATACACGTTCGTGCGACAGGCACGTCGTTCAAACGTTTCTCGGATGCCACGAGTTATAATCTTCCACATTTTCTTTTCTTTTTGTCACGTATGTATCAGGAAGACTATGTTATAATAAAAATTAAGGCCTATTGGGATAACTATTGAGACGCAATTCGGCACCTTACGCCGAATCTCACAAAGTCTCACCTACGTTCACTACGCTACCTAACGAGAAAAAGATTAGTGTTCGAAAGTATCGATACGACTATCGATACGTATCGATATGCCTTTAGATACGAATCGATATGCTTTTTCCTATTATCTGAGTATCGTCCGGAGTATCGATATTTTATATGCGTCCTTCTGCACGGTGGAAATAATGGATATTTACGATAATTAAAGTAAGGACCTTCACATAGAAATTGTCGTAACTGTAACCATAAACTTAAGCTAAAGAACCAATTAGTATATTGCTATAGATTTATATATTCCAAAAGACTATAAAAGTGACACCAAGTTTTATGTCAGGCCGGTATTCATAGTCAGATCTTATATTGAAGACCGCGTTATGGCTCCTGCACACAGGACGCGGTAATGCTTGCCGCACGGTGAAAGTTCGCGCGACAGCCAATCAATATGCTGCTTTCCGTAATAACCTTCTAGCTCTTACGGAAAAACAACATATTGATTGGCTGTCGCGCGGTTTTCCGCCGCGCGGCAAGCATTACCGCATCCTGTGTGCAGGAGCCATTACAGCTATTGTAGACGAGCTAAAGGCCAAATCACATTTGCGATTGGCGATTGACAATTAAAGATTAGATTTTAACGAATCAACAAGCTTCAGCCTTGGTTTGCTTTGTTCCAATTGGTCAAGTTCCAATCTTCAATCGTCAATCATCTATCGCCAATCGTTAATGTGATTTGACCTTAACTTTCGGCCTAGCCGCCGTTACGATCAGACGTGTTCGGACAAGTTCGGACATTGAGATCTTTGGAACGTTTGCTTTGCAATCTTCTTGGAGTTCGATTCTCTAACTAGTTGCATATACGTAAATTTTACTGCACAGGTTTAATCATACCATAAAATAGGTGCGCAGTAAAACTTACGTATAGAAATCAGTTAGAAAATCGAGCCCCTGGGTTTTATATCACGATATCATTCTTTCAAACAACTTAGTTGATTCTTATTAATCTTTATTCTTATGGCTCCTGCACAAAGGACGCGGTAATGCTTGCCGCGCGACGGAAGTTCACGCGACAGCCAATCAATATGCTACTTTCCGTAATAACCTTTTAGCTCTTACGGAAAAACAACATATTGATTAGCTGTCGCGCGGACTTTCGCCGCGTCTTGTGTGCAGGAGCCATTATTTGGTTTGTTCTTTTGCCTGCACTGCTACACTGGTGCAATAAGTTAGAGAGAGACAAATATATATTTGTCTCACTCTAACTTATTGCACTAGTGCAGCAGTGCAGAGCGAAAGAACAGACCAATTGACTTGGAGTGGATTGGGGGGGATATGTCTCTTTGAAAATCCCTATACTATATGTATATGTAACCATATACTGAGAGAAAGAGAGAGAGAGACGAGCTTTTATCATTCTAACCTATTTGCGTGCTCAATGGCACGCGATTTACACGTGTATACGTTTACTTAAAAAATTTACAATTTAATTCTTAGTTAAGATGGGGAAGAAAACAAAGATTGGGAAGCAGAGGAAAGACAAGTATTATCAATTAGCCAAGGAAACAGGTAATAAATAATGTTAATCATTATAATACTTTAGGTAATTATACAGTTTACACTCTTTACCCCTGATTTTGACGAAAAAAAATATTCACAATTGACATATTTTTCAAAAGCAAAAAACTTTTTTATTTGGAAAAATCGCTGCTCTCTACTACGAAGCGAAATATTTATTGACAAAGTTGATCACTATTAAGGTTAGGGGCAATTATTCAGTTTATACACATCACCTCCTACATCGATAAAAATATGCTCAATCGTCGTGCTTTTGTATGTAGAATAAGAATCTGGCAGAAATACTAATCATACTAATTAACTTTGTCGATTAATTTTTCGCTTTGTAGTAGAGAGCGATGATTTTTCCACATAAAAAAGTTGTTTGCCTTTAAAAAGCGCGCCGATTAAATATTTTATCGTTAAATTCGCGAGTGAAGAGTAAACTGTATAATTATCCATTATTTAAACTCAACATTGTGTTTAAATTGTGCTAAAATAGTAGATCAAAATGAAACATTTTTTTTTATTTAGGTTATAGGTCACGTGCTGCCTTTAAATTAATTCAGTTAAATCGAAAGTATGAATTTCTTCAAAAATCTCGAGTATGCATCGATCTGTGTGCAGCACCTGGTGGCTGGATGCAAGTCGCCAGACAAAATATGCCAGTATCATCTATAGTTGTAGGCGTAGACTTATTTCCCATAAAGCCTATACCAGGGTGTATCAGCCTTACAGAGGATATTACAACAGATAAATGCAGAGTGGCTATCACACGAGAATTGAAAACATGGAAAGCTGATGTTGTTTTAAATGACGGAGCCCCAAATGTAGGAAAAAATTGGCTTCACGATGCTTACCAACAAGCTGTTCTAACTTTAGCTGCTATAAAAGTAGCTACTCAATTTCTACGAGCTGGTGGTTGGTTTGTGACAAAAATATTTCGATCTAAAGATTATCATCCATTAATCTGGGTGTTGAAACAATTATTCAAGAAGGTATTAATGTTACTCTAGACATATTTATCAATCATCATCATAAGTAATTGCATATAAAGTAAGTAGAATTTTAAAATCTACAAATTCTTCTCAAAATGGAATTGAAAAATTAAAGATAAAACTAGTTGTAAGATGGACAAAAGATTATACATTCAGTATACTGTTGAATTAAATTTAAGTATTTTTTTGTTTTCATTTGAATTTGGAGTTACAAATAAGCAATTACTTATGGAATAACTGAAACTTGTCAAAAATCTAACAATTAACTGCGATTCGTTACCATCATGGTTTTAATTACAGGTACATGCTACTAAACCTCAAGCTTCACGTAACGAGTCCGCGGAAATTTTTGTTGTTTGTCAATATTATATTGCTCCTGACAAAGTGGATCTTAAATTTTTTGATCCAAAATACGTGTTCTCTGAATTAGAAATGCAAACTACAAACAAGATAAATATCTTCCATCCAGAAAGGCAGAAGAAATCTAAGGCCGAAGGATATCCTGAGAACGATTACACGCTATATCATAAGTTGTCAGCAAAGGAGTTTATCGCTTGTGACGACGCAGTGGGAGCTTTGCAGAGTGCTTCCGAAATAGTCATCGATGACGAAGCCATCGATAAACACGAGAAAACAACAAGAGAAATTAGAGAATGTTGCAAAGATATCAAAGTACTCGGTCGAAAGGATTTAAAGCTGTTACTCAAATGGTGGAAGGCATTAAAAGAGGTACAGTCGGATGAGAAAAAAGAAGAGGACGGATCTACGCTTGAAGATCAAGCCGCGCCTGCGACTATTAGTCTGGAAGAGCAGGAGGATCTGGAAGACGCGGAAATCGAGAAACAAATTTCCGAGCTCAGAGATACTGAAGCGAAAGAACTGAAACGCAAGAAAAAAAAAGTCCACAAGGAGAGACAAAAACTGAACGAACGCCTCAATTTGAAAATGATTCATAAAGGTGACGAGGGACCTAAATTGGAAGGAGACGATTTGTTCAATTTAAATCAGATACAAACCTATCAACATTTGAAACAAGTTACGGATCAAGCACCCGACATTGTAGCGGAGAGCGAGGAGGACTCTGACGACGAAGAAAATGTCAAGCCGAAGACTGTTCGTTATGAGAAAGATGTAAGACACTTGGACAGTGAGGGTTTATATTACAAGACGGAAGATAGCGAGGATACTGACAGTGATGCTAACTCGGATGACGACCCAGATGGTGAAATATCTGGATTAGGTATTATTCTTCTCTCTCTCTCTCTGTCAAATATTAATTTTTGAATGATATTCTCTTCTAGCTGTTTCTAAGATATTTTTTTCTATATCGTATAATTTTATCACGGATATTTTCCACTTATTCTTTAATTTAATTACATAGTAATAATAATATAATAATTTACAAGACAAACTACAAAGTTACTTTTGCGAAATAGGTCTAGACGATTCGGAGGACGAAAGTACGAAGAGACTGCCAAAGAAAAAACAGGAATTTAATGACTCTAGTAATAATCCATTGCTAACTGATCTAGACTTCCGAGACAAGAAAACAAAACAGATTCATAAAGCGGAGCTTTGGTTTGAAAGAGATGTGTTTAAAGATTTGGTGACCGAGGACGATGAAAATTATGAATTGGACAGAATGATTGAGCTATACAAGAAGAAAGGTGGACATATTCTTGGAGAAGAGAAGAAGGTAGAAAACGATGAGGACAAAAAAGAAAAACGTGAAGACAACGAGAGTTCCGAGGATGAGTCCGATTATGATATGGAAGAAGTAATGAAGTCTAATAAGAAGACGAAGAAGATTGGTGGAAAAGATGGTTTTGAGATAGTACCTCGAAAAGAAGGTAAGCAAACTTTCATTTGATAGAGAATTTCACTGATTGATACACTAAATAACTATTAATAATCACGTCATTTTAAACATTCGTTTCTGATCAATTAGAAAAAAAATCGACGAAAAAGAGGAAATTGACTGCAGAAGATTTAGCACTCGGCTCATTGCTGATTCAAAGTAAAAAAACCCGAAGAGACTTGATCGACACATCTTGGAACAGATATGCATTTAACGACGAGAATTTGCCGGACTGGTTCGTGAAGGACGAAGAGAAGCACATGAAGAAAGAGACACCTGTACCTATAGAATTAGTAGACGAATATAAGAAAAGAGTCGAGGACGTAAATGTCAAATCGATCAAAAAAGTGATGGAAGCTAAGGCAAGGAAAAAGAAGCGCGCGATTCGCAAACTTGAGAAGGCTAAGAAGAAAGTGGAGGCGTTGATGGACAATACGGACGTTAGCGACAGGGAGAAGGCCAGACAAGTTGCAGCGTAAGTACCAGTTATCAAAATGTCTAATCCCATCTCGATATATGTTATCTCGATATATGACACATCTAATTCTATCTTTCGTCTAATTTAGGCTGTATAAAAAAGCTACCAAGGAACCGAAGAAGGAAATTACGTACGTCGTTGCGAAGAAACATTTGACGCAGAAACGCGCCGTCAGGCCTCCTGGTGTGAAAGGTCGATACAAAATAGTGGATCCGCGAATGAAAAAAGATATACGCACAGCGAAAGCGAAAGAAAAGTCTAAGGGCCGCGGGAAGAAACATCGAAGTGGAAAGACTTCAAGAGTAAAAGCCAAAGCTATGAAAAGAAAGAGAGTCAAGTAGCTTTTATCTCTTTTATAGAATAGAAATTATTTTTATAATTATTTCATCTAAACATTTGTACGATACAATACTTGCGTTGTTTGTTCAATTTTAAAGATACGATACTCTATTTAACGCCAAACTTTAAAATTTTTAGCTTACAAACAGGTCAAATACATTAGACGAGCAACAATGTATAATATTTTTATTTGCTATAGAATCGTACTATTTAAAAATAAAAAGTCATCTAACACATTGAACTCCATATATCTGCCTGACCTGTCATTGGCCATGTTCTATTTTTACTGCTAGTACTGAAAAATCTACAATTTTCGTCACATATACTATAGATTTTCAGTAGTGGCAGTAAAAATGGAACACGGCCTATGAGTTATACCATGCATTCAATTCTCGCCCTAGACAGTAGCAGAAACTGTGAGAGTCCTTGCACAATGCCAGACTACAGGCAATAGGAATAAGTATTAACCAATAGGAACAGGGAATAGAAATAATTGACCAATCCGAATTCCTATTCCCTGTTCCTATTGCCTATTACCTGGCATTCTGCAAGGGCCTTGACGCTCTATGCATAATGCCAGGCAACAGGCAATAGGAATAGACATAAAGCCCTTTGCAGAATGCCAAGCGACAGACAATAGGAACAGAGAATAGAAATAATTGACGAATCCGATTTACTATTGCCTAGGTTGTTCTTTCAAGTTGAACTTCGTGCATTGGTTCAAGAAGAGTACATTAGTGCGTTCTTTCTAGCAGAAGTAACGTCCGAGGTTACTATTCTTTCCAACAATGCAGCAGAACTCAATGCAATGGTGCAACAGTTCACTGAACTTTTTGCACTGGATCTGAAGCTGTTACAAGCAATGCAGTGCAGTACAAGAGCAAAAGTTACTATACCAGTGCAGGTAGTTCAGGTAAAAAGAACAAATGGAAGAGATGAATATTGCATATGAAGATGGAAGAGATGAATATTGCAGAAAAGGGATGGTGGTGGTAATATCCTAGATAGGTTCTGCGTACATCTGAGGTACATTAACGCAGTTCAATGAATTTATCTGAAAAGTTATTTGTGTCTAAAATTATGTAGTTTCCAGCACTATGACGTTCTTTTCCATCCTGGCTGTGTTTAGGGAGACGCTATTTAGCGCTATGAGCGTCTTCTGTCCTTGTTCAACTTTTCATGAACAAGCAAGGACGGAGCACACTCATAGCGCTAAATAGCGTTTCTCCGAACGCAGTCCTTATCTGACATGTCTGCATCGAGTGCAGACCAATCCTATAAACTTTCGCTGTACTCGCCAGTTCCAGTTCCGAACCAGTGCAGTTACAGTGCAGCACTAGTTCAGTTAAAAAGAACAAACTTCTAGTGTCGGGCTATGTTGTTTCCTGCACTATGGCGTTCTTTTCCATTCTGTCTGGCATGTCTGCACTAGAATTACTATAAGCAGAGTTTGGCCAACAACTGTGATTTCGTCAAAATCCTGGGAGAGAGAGGGATCTGTCTCTCCTTTTCTATCTCTACTTCACCTAAACTATTGTGAATAGTGTAATACGGTGTATAACTATAATCATGTAATACGGTGTATAACACGTTTTGTTGTATTCCGATTAAAAATTTATAAAAATTCTACTATTCGTATTAATAAACGATATTATAGTAAATGTCAAGTCAATGATTTACCGATAGACGTCGAAAAGACGTCGAATCGACGTCGAAATCGTCGAATCGACGTCAATTCGACGTTTTTTCGACATCTATCGGTAAGTCATTTCTCACTGGGTAATATTTATTTCTTAAGAGACGCAAGTATGTACACAACGTTCCTCTACATCCGCTAATCCGATCCATTCCTCACAGACACGATTTGGTAATCCGATTTAACTTTCTCTCTGAACAATTTACATCACCAAGATTATCATTTCGAATGGAAATTCGATTGCTACAGGTAAAAACCCAGTACTAGTTCCGAACCAGTGCAGTTCCAACGCAGCATTAATTCAGTTGAGAAGAAACCTCCTGTTGCCTGGCATTGTGCATAAAGCGTAAGACTTATAATTCTAACTTGTTTGAGTGTTGAATGACACGCAATTTACACGTGTATATACCTAGATAGATAAACTTGCGCGAGCAGATTTCGAGCAGAGCTTGCTATCAACTTTTGATGGCAAATAGGTAACAAATTTGAAGCAGGATCTGTTATATCAAATCTTGCTGCCAAATTGCCGTCAGATATGCGGCAGAGCTTGTTGTCGGATAATTGCTGCAGATTTGCAGCAAAAACTGTGCAGAGCTTGTAGCGAATTGAAGGCAAATTGGCGGCAGAAACCGCGCAGACCTTGCTGCGCTGCAAGCTTTGCGCGGTTTTTGCAAATTTGGCACCAATTGCCCGACAGCAAGATCTGTCGCCAAAACCGTAGCCTAATGTAGACACAGATGGCTATGATTTTGCTGTGGGTTTTTGATCAAATTTGCTGCCAATCTGCGCGGTCTGCGCTCAATTTGCTTACTGGGTTAATCATTATAACACTTTACTGTTTACCCAATGATCAAATATTGGATTATTGATATATTGGAGACTTTGGCTGTGTTCGGATAGTTCGCTGTCGCGCTACGAGACGCTAACGCTATAAACACTATTCGGGGAGTCAATAGTGTGATAGCATTAGTGTGCTATCCGGACGCGGTGCGCTAATAACAATAGCGTTCGGAGAGCTTGTTGACACACTATGAGACGCTAATGCTCATTTGCGCTTGCAAGTTTAATATGAATGGAGAAAATATTGATTTCCGTTGCAACAAGCTATAATTAAAAATGGTATTGTTGCAATTTTGCGAGAACATGTTGACTTTTCGTCGTTAGAAAGTGATGACGATAAAGTGGAATATGCTATGCACGTGGTGGATACACAGATATCTATACTCAACTAGATTATTATCACACCATCATTACATATAGCATGGCTTGCGTCCGATAGAGTTTCGGTATATGCGAGAAAATGGTCGTTACCGCCACATATTTTCACTACGTTTAGTCATAAAATTCATTTGTTGATAATGAGAAGAGCAACGTCCAATATCATTTATTTTTTGTTGCGACATTTTTTGATGCAATAAGATGCTGGCATTTTGGTCTTACGACAATAATTTAATGGCCACGCTGACTCATATTGTAAGATACACAAGTGACACGCGTCACATACACAGGACCGCCGCCATTTTCTCGCATACAACCGAAAATCTCATGCGACGCAAATCCGAAGCCTTCTACCTAGACATCTGTGGGTGGGTAGCATATAATATAAGCGGAAATGCATATAACACATGTATACTTTCACAATTCAACGGAACGAAAACATAAGGTCTATTTAATATACTCATAATTGTACGCGTAGCGAACTAAGAACACTATGAGTGCTATGAGCGTTCGATGTCACCTTGTAAATGATAGCGCAAGATAGCGCAAGTGATGACGTCACTCTGTTAGAGTTATGAGTGTGCTATGACTATTCGAGGAGACACTTTTTGTCGCTATGAAATCGATAGTGACGTCACTCTAAAAGTAGCGTGACGGCATCACTCGCGCTATTTTTCGCTGTCATTTTCGAGGTGAAGCGCCGAACGCTCATAACGCTCAGCGTTCTTAGTTAACTACGCGAACAATTACGAGTCTATTTTAAACAAGTCTATTTTAAACAGACTTTATTTTTTCATCCCGTTGAATTGTTGAAAGTATATACATGTGTTATGTACATTTCGGCTTATATTATATGCTATTAGCCACGTGCATAGCATGTTCCACTTCATCGTCATCACTTTCTGACGATGAAAAGTCAACAAGTTTCCGTAAAACTGCGACAATACCATTCTTAATTATAGCTTGTTGCTACGGAGATTAATAGTTTCTCCATTAATCTTGCAATCGCAATAGGTCATTAGCGTCTTACAGCGTGTCAACGAGCCCACCGAACGCTATCGCTATTAGCCGACCGCGTTCGGATAGCACGTTAACGCTATCGCGCTATTGACTCCCCGAACGGTGTTTATAGCGTTAGCGTCTCAATTTGAAAATGATTCATAAAGGTGACCAGGGACCTAAATTGGAAGGAGACGATATGTTCAATTTAAATCAGGTACAAACCTATCAACAATTAAAACAAGTTACAGATCAAGCACCCGACATTGTAGCGGAGAGCGAGGAGGACTCGAACGACGAAGAAGGTATCAAGCTAAAGGCTATTCGTTATGAGGAAGATGTAGGACACTTAGACAGTAAGGGTTTATGTTACAAGACGGAAGACAGTGAGGATACTGACAGCGATGCTATGTCGAATGACGACACAGATAGTGAAATATCTGGATTAAATATTAATGTTAAATTAATATTTAACATTAATATTAATGTTAAATTAATATTAATAATGTCTAACCTTACTGTCTAAGTCTCCTACATCTTCCTCATAACGAATAGCCTTCAGCTTGATACCTTCTTCGTCGTTCGAGTCTTCCTCGCTCTCCGCTACAATGTCGGGTGTTCTAGGCATTATTGTAAGCTCTAACTGCTATAATTTTTGTGTCGAGACCGATGAACATCGTATCAAGCTCTCTAATCGCTCACTTAGTGATGCGGCGAAAGAAGCTCGCTCGAGCTAAAAAGCTGCGAGAAAAGATAAAGAAGATGAAAATTTTACTAAAAGACTACTTTATGGTCCTGGGATCGCAGATTAAAGATAAATTCACTAAAAGTAAAAAATTTCAATTGTTAACTTAAAAATTAACATTCGGAACTTTAAACGCGTTTTTCTCAAAACAGTATTTTTAACCAATTTACTTCAAATTTTAATAGTATTTAAAAAATTAAATTTTCTAAAGAAATACGTAGGATTTTTTTGATAAGTTATACATTTTTTAAGTTACAGTTGATTTTACTCGATTTTTTTCGTAAAAAAATAGAATTTTTTCTTTTAAACTCCGCCATTTTGTCAAAAATTAATATTTTCAAAAACGGCTACATTTTTCTCTAAATATTGGAGTAAAGAAAATTAAAAAATTTGTTTTTTGTTTTAGACAAAAAATTACGGCACTTATGCTACTAGCCGCGGATCATCTTGCCAAATCGACTGTCTCCTTCACGCTGCTGCAGATCTACCATTTTGTAAAATCTAATTATGAAAAAATTATTTTTTATACTTTTTGACATATCTAATAAAGTTATCAAACTCATTTTTTAATAGTACAA